GTCTTGTGGACCATCAGCCCCATGCGGGTAATCTGGGGAGAGACGTGTTGTGTCCCAGGGTAAGCATCACCCCATTTTCCCCCCATGAGGATTATGCAGGATCCCTGAGGTCCAAGGTAGGTCTGCAAGTCCCAGCTCCCCATTCCCAGCTTGGGGTCGGCTATGGTGGCGGTCAGGTCTGGGAAAACCTTGCCCCACTCACATCCCCTCCACTGTCCTTGATCCCAACGATGTTGGGGTGTTGAGCCAGGGTGAGCACAGCTTCCAGGGGCAGGTCCAGGCCGGTGTTGGCGGGGACGCTATAGAGCACCACAGGGATAGGCGAAGCACCGATCGGCGACCTGCGGGCAGCCGGTCAGAGTTAGCAGGTGGGGTGAACTGGAGATGTGTGGGACACGCACCTCATCCTGCTGCCCCACCTGGAGCTGCTGCCAGGCACCAGGCAGGACTCACCTCTGTGTAGTGCTGGACCAGGGCAGCACTGGTCATGGACCCTCGGTAGTAGCAGGGTGTCACAACTAGTGCCACATCAGCCCCTGCCTCTGCCATGCTGACCGTCAGCTTGATGGTGGCCTGGGTGGCTGGGAAGGGGGCAGACGGGTGAGGCATGCCCCCAGGTGGGACACACGGTCCCCACGCTGACCACACAGGCACTCACATTCGCAGCCCGAGCCAGCCAGCAGCAGGCGGTCCCTGGGCAGAGCCCGGCGCACACAGGTCACCACATCCAGCCGCTCGCTGGGTTCCAGGTAGGGGTACTCGCCATTGGAGCCCATCACCACCAGCCCTGAAACACAAGTTTGCGGAGAGTGGTGCCCAGGCATAGGAGTGGGCTGCCAACATTCCACTCTTGGGTGGGCACCAGGCGTCTGGAGCAACCTAATGCCCACATCCAACAGATCCCTTGGGCCAGGAGGTTCTCACAGGAGCCCCACAAAGCCCTGGGGTCCCCCACAAAGAGCACATGTGGGTATGTGCCACCCCAGATCTTAGTGCTCACCTGTGCTGCACTGAGCACCAGTAGTGTCATCCCTTACCGAGACACCCTCATGTGTGCCCTACATGCAGCCCATAGGCTGAATACAGCACCTGCACGCCTCTATTCCCAGGAACTGCCCCACACAGCACTGCTAGGAAGGGATTTATTGATGCCTGCAGCTGGGCTGTGACAGGCCGTGCCTGTCCCTGGCTGGGGCACACAGACTCCTTACTTGGGACCCTACCAGCATTATGGGCACAAGTGAGCCAACTTCATCCTAGTGCTGCTGAGATCTGCTGCAGCATCCTGGACTCCAGGATGCCAGGAGGGTTGGATGTCCACGTCATTGTCTCTCCCTTCCTTGCCCCTGTACCCAGACATAGCTCTGCAGCCACAGTGTACCCTCTCCTGTCCCTGTCCTTGCAGCCCTGGGCTTACAAACTGGTCAGGAGAGCAGAGAATGGGGCATATCCCTGCCATCCCTGGCCTCTTCCTGCAGACTCCTCCCATCCATCCATCTTGGGCAGCTAACAGATAGGAGTCTTGTGGTGCTGAAACTGCGTGAGTGTGCGTGAGTGTGCCAAGGGTAGGTGCAACCCTGCAGCTACACGTGGAGGATCTGTGCAAGCCTGCACACATGTGGTGGGCATGTGCAAGGACAAATGTATGTGCCTGATCACTTGCCGTGTAAAGGGCCCCAGCTGGGTCACTCAAGGGGCTTGCTAGCCCCAGAACAAAGTCTGGCTGGAGGCTGAGCACCTTTGGGAAGCTGGTGGCTGGCAGGGATCTGGCAGGTGCCTGCACAGAGAAGGATAGTGCTTACCTCGGAAGGGGATGCTGGTGTATCGACGCAGGTTCTCCTCCAGCTGGCCATAGTCCACCTCCTGTGTGGGCGAGAAGGGGGTGGCGAGGGGTGGGAAGATGCCCCTGAGGTCGGTTGTCTGCGCTGGTCCTGAGGGAGCTCTGAGTCCCTGGTGCTGCCCCAGGGGTGCCTGGCGCAGAGCTGCCAGGGTGTGCCGGAGGCGAGAGGCAAGGTGGGTGCTGAGCGCCATCGTGGCTGGGTGGTGCTGCTGGCCGTGCTGCTTGCCACGCTCAGGGTCTGTTAATGTTTGACAGGGCACGTGCAGGACCTGTGACCCGGCTGGGTGGACAACACAGTGGGTGGTACCGGCTCCAGGAGCTGGCTGCAGGAGCT